GGGAGAGAGGGAGAAGATGAGGAAAACGGCAGAGGAGGGAGGCGCGGGGGCGTCGAAGACTCTACTCACCTCAGCGGCTCCGCCGTCGCGTCCTGCAACACAGAGAGAGACAAGAGCGTCAGGTACCTGTCAATGATGAGGTAGTGCGTTGTGGTGGCCGCGGCGGGGCGGAGGTAGTCGCAGGCGTAGGGGGGCGGCCCCCAGGGCGGGCCCCGGGGCGGGCCCGGGCCCAGCCCGCTGCCCAGGCACATGACGACGACCCCCCGGGGCTCCGGGTCCGGTCCGGGCGCAGAGGGAGCAGACGACGCGAGAGGAGCACGGTGCTCGCGAGGCCTGAGCTGCTGCGCGACCCGGTCGAGCCTCTCGTCAAAATGGAGGCGGAGCAGAGCAGAGCCAGCAGCGGAGCGGGCGGGCGGGGAGGCTGGAGCTGTGGCTGGAGCCGAGGCGCCTGGCGCTAGCGGCGCCCCGGCCCGGCCGCGCCGCACCGCGCAGGCGCAGCGGGGCGGAGGGGTGGTGGCGACGCCGCGACTAGCGAGGCTACCCGCCCCCGCCGGCCCCGCTCGCCCCGCCGCCGCACCCCGCCGTGCAGCTCCCAGCAGCGCCCCGGCGAGCACGGTGCGCGGCCCGGGGGGTGGGCGGCGGGGGCGGCGGCTGGGAGGGAGCCCCCGCGGCTCCGCCAGCGGCGCGGGGCAGGGCGACGGGCGGGGGCGCGGGGTCGACTGACGCACAGACACCTCCCCCGGGCCGGGCGTGGAGCAGCCGCGAGCAGCGCCAAGGTGGGCGGCGGCGCAAGAGAGAGGGAGAGAGATAGAGAGAGAGAGGGCTGCCGGAGGGCAAGGAGTTGAGTGGCCGCGGGGGCTGAGCCGAGCGGCCACCGGGCGGCGGGGCCGCGCCGGCTGAGAGAGTAAAGTTCCCTTCGCGGCCGCCGCGCGGGGTGGCGGGAGAGGGGCGGCGGGGGCGGCCGCAGCGGGCACGCGATAGGCGCGAAGTAGGCGCTCGCGCGGAACACACGAGGAAGAGAACAGTTCTTGTTCCCGCGACTTGCGGAAAAGGGAGGAGGGGTGGGGGTGGGGGTGGTTCTCGTCGAGCCCTTCTCGGCAGCGCGGGGTTCCGTACGGTACACGTATAGGTTGTGAATGGATTTTATGTATTTTAAAAATCAAATAGTTTTATGCAACAAACCTTATGTAACCTGTATAGTTACTAACTGTGGAAGCTTTAAAA